ATATGTGTGTGTGTGTGTGTGTGTGAGATGTAAATAAAATTTCCATACACTGATATCAATCTCAATTTATACAGCTTGAGATAAAATGTTAAAATGTGGTAATATAGGTAAAATTTAATCAAATTTTGCTGTAAGTCTACTGCAATGTTATTTTTTTGGGGTGATTTGTTATTTTTTAATAAACAGCTAATTCGCAGTCAACAACGTAAACCAACTTGTTATTATACTGTATGGCCAACAGATGGCAGTATAAAGCTTTATTTTATACTACGTTGTTTTCTAATCGTAAGAATACTGAGGTTGAGATCAGTTTTACATGTTTTTGAAAATTAAATAGCTGCTGTTTATCTTCCCGAGACATCCAGCTTAGTTTGTGATTGATATCACAAGCCGAAGTTTCAAAAATAACTTTAAAATTAGTAAAAAATACACTCTATTTCTCTACACTATATAAAGTACACTATCAGTACAGTAGGCTACTTCTACATACCACTTCATTTCATGGTTTCTGGATCGTATTAAAAATTGAGAGGTCCGAGATTTCATCAGAGAATCAGGTTTGCCAGGAGGAGCAGGACATCTGCGAGTACTGAATACTAAATATTATTTTAAGATTGCGCATGCTGAACTCACATTGGATCCCGAGAGCAAAGAAAAAGTAATTTTATCAAGAGAGGAGGTTTTCAGAGAATTACTGCTACTTCACCTGTTCAAGCTTGAGTAAATGGGATTTGTCCAATGGAAGGTGTATTTCTGTTCATGCTTGACATATGTGTGTGTTTGCTTTGCTTCCCATCATTGCCCCAAGATGGAGTAAGAAAAGGCCTTTATAGTATTTCCTGTGGAAGTGGGAAAAATTAAAAGGACAGGTGTACAAACGTCGGTCATCATATTAAGATTTCCTTCCTCTGTTATTTACTTTTAATGCCAGGAAGTGATATTTCAACCTTTAGTTATTGAGCTCTGAATATGCAAGCACAGGTTTGCTGAGATATAAGCGTCTATAGTGAGCATACACAGCTCGACAGCATACTTTTGTGGTTCACAGCTTGCACTTTGTCTCAATCCACATGTGATTTTCAATAGAGACTTTGTACAAAAAATATGAGAGCTCTATGTGAATAACAGGCCAAAATTTAAGATAGCCTATAATTCTCTGAAAATATTTTTATATGATAGTTCACTCAAAAATAAATATTTTATCATCATTTACCCACCCTTATGTTGTTCCAACCCTGTAGGAATGTTTTTGTTGAACACAAAGTCGTGGGAAGTCGTGGCCTAATGGTTAGAGAGTCGGACTCGTAACCCAAAGGGTGCGAGTTCGAGTCTCAAGTCCGGCAGGGATTGTAGGTGGGGGGAGTGAATGTACAGCGCTCTCTCCCACCTTCAATACCACGACTGAGGTGCCCTTGAGCAAGGCACCGAACCTGAGGAAACTTCAGTATATTTTCAAAAGAATTAGCTTTATTGTCACTGATTCAGATTCACTTCAGTAGCCAACCCCATCTGAGTATTTTACAAAGGGGTGATTTCGTATGAACTAGTACGATGGGATTTGTATGAAAACGCATGATCTTTGTGCGATGGTCATGTTGAATTTCTTACACTGTCCGAAAATGATCGTAGGCTATCTTTGGTCGCAAGACCGTGACAACGGCCATCTTTGAACCTCTCTCACTGTATGACCACCATTTAAGAGCCGCGATCACAGAAATTGCTACGATTGTTTCACAATGCCAATCTTTCGTCTGGGACAGCCTAAAATCGTGCAGTGTGTAGAAGGCTTTAGTGTTCACTTAAGCTGTATTGTCTTAGTTAATACTGTTCTGCCTACTCCTGAGTTTTGTGTTCATTAAACGTTTCCCTGGATCTTGTACTCCTTCGTCGTGAGGGTTTGAATGATACAGCGTGACACCTGAAAACCTAACTGTCAATGGAGCGTAAGCAGATCACATGCAAAAATGTATAAATTGGTATCCACATAATTCATATAAACTCATACAATGTGTTTTTGTTCGCAAACATACAATTTTTAGAAAAAAGAAGCATGCAGGTCCAGCCCAAAACCTAACAGTGAGGCATAAGCAGCTCGTTATGTGTTGCAATAGCAGCCTGAACTATGCAGGTCTTATACAAATGAATGGCACGATTCTCAGCCTTGCTGAGCTGCCAGTGGCGCATGCTGCTCATATAAAACAGATGCATTGCTAAAGATGGCTTAAAATAGTTTGGTTTGTTTGCTGAATAGATTTTTATCCTTGAACTGAACACCTGCTCTTGAAACATTTCATTAAAATTAAATACTTTCAGTTCAAACCACTCATCAGAACATTCTGGAGTATTTATTTATTTATTTATTTTTGTGTATGTGTGTTCCTTTTTTAATTATTATAAACAATTAAGCCATTACAACATTTTAAAAAAAAAATGTCTAATGGTACCCCATTGAGAAAAAAAATATAAGACACTCCTTTTTTTCCTTGAAAAATACTTATTCTACTGAATTCTTATGCAAAACATTACTTGGCTGTTACCGCTGAAATGAAGCAGGAGATAAAAGCGATAAAATGTTTTTTATTCACCTTTTTATTAAAATAGAGAGGGTGCAGCTGAGCTCACAGGAGACACGTTACACTGTCTGAGTGCAAGCCCAGACCCCACACGAAACAGACTGGTAGAACAAAAGGTAAAATACAGGCCTGCTGAGCCTCTCAGCAGGATGAGCAGTCTGGGGAACTTCAAGCTGGACTGAACTCAAATCCAGTGTGCTCAGAAAGTTCCTCAGAGCTAAATCATCCATCTCTGTAAATCCACAAGTGTTCAAGCAATTCATATCCCAATGAGATAAATGATTGCTGTCTGGCTGTATCGTGGCCTTTGAACAAAATGTATATCTTATATTCAATGCTATTAATTATATTTTAAAAGCATTATGAAGTATAAGAGGTCTATCTATTTGTAGTTTAACTAGACTTAACTAGTTTGGTGTACTTGCTTAACATCTCCTCTTGTGTTATACAGAACAATTACGTAATTAGCGTTTAGAACAACATGAAGATGAGTAATATAGTATTATATAAAAGTATTTATCAATATTTTCAATTAACTTTCATTTTAAATTTTTATATTTAAGTTTTAGGAATTGTGTTGTGTGCTTTTTCAGAAGAATAGAATTTGAGAATATAGAATTCATAGTTTTATGAGTTTTATGAATGATATGCATTCTGATTCTGTGGATTCCATGTGGGCCTGCAGTAGGTATAACTCAAGTGTGCCATACATCTGCAACAGAATTCCCAAGAGCAGATTTTCTTCCTAGTGAAAGAAGAGAAAGAGCATCAGTGCCCTCTACTGTTTCCTCATGGTATGACAGTCTCCCTTCTGACAGCAGCAAAACTAACTGAAGCCATTTTATACATAACTGTACAGTACCAAAAAAAAAAAAAAAAAACGTTTTACAAGAAAATACTATTTCCGTTTTTTCTACTTCAGAATCTCACATTTAATGCAATGTATTTACCTGCTGTTTCGTTGTAACTGTTTGTAAAATATACTAGCGAATTCTGACTGAAAATTGTCTACACCAGATTTTGTCAGGCTAGTCCTCCCTGCCTTGTTCCCTTCGTCTCAGAGCAAACTAGGATTTGAATGGCCATAAAGACCTTGAAGGGCTGCATTTGTGAAGTTCTCATGTAAAATTAATAGTCTTGACTAGCCATCATGCTAATTCACATAAGCCTTACGTCTGCCTTTTATCGAATAGAAACTGGATTTAATAAAAACTGTACTTGTTTGTGAAATTTACAAACAATTTCTGAGTGACAATTGTTTTTATACCAAATATTTTCACTGTCTTATTCCCTTGAATAGCTCAAATTGTGAAGTTCTCAAATAATATAAAATAGTTAATCATGACTAGCCAAAATGTTAATTCACAAAATCCACACGTAGTACTAAAAGTTAATTTTATTTTTTTTTTAAAAAGAATAAATACATGAATAAAATGTTATCTAGGCCCTAAATGGACTAAATTTAATGATAAATAATGTGATTGTAAAATTTACTAGCATGTTCTGAGTAAAACTATGTTTCTACACCTTTGTTTATCTTTCTTGACTTTGTTGACACTGCCTTATTCCCTTTATCTCAGAGCAAATCAGGATTTTAGTGACACTAACTGGACTAAATTAAACAAAACGTATCTGTATCTTACGATAAACTGCATCTGGATGATACCAGCTTCATTAAACATTTGAAAATGAACAAATTCAAATCTTCAGATCTCATTCAGTAATCTCAATACTGAAAACTAGTGGACAAATGAGTCAAAGTGAAACATAATGTATCTGCTCTTACTTCCTGGAAGATCTCCTCGGCACAGTTTCACACCATCACGGGCACCGTATGTGCATGAGAACACATACGAACGCATGCACAGACGAGACGCAGATTTACAAGGTTGAAACCACAAGTTTCTAGGCAAAATATCATCAAATCTTATTTGTCAGCTGACATTTTTCCAACAGGGCTATTGCTGTTTACATT